AATGCATTTTGAAAAAAAGGACAATGAGAACATATGATTGATGAATGTGCATGAAATTCTTTAATATTTGGTTCTATACCAATGTATATCTTTACATCATAAAAATCTTCAGTATTTAATAATCTTTCATGTTCATTAAAATATTTTTCATATATTGAATTCATTTTTAAAAATTTAAAAAAAAAAGTATTTTGTAATAAATATATCACATGATATTATAATAGTTTTAATTTATATTTATTTTAAACTTATTATTAACAACCTAATTAATACGAAAAATGATGCCTTACCATTAAAATACATTAGTAAACTTGTGAATGATTTAACAAAGTTATTGAATTGAATCATATTTTTATGACATAGAAATTAGAGTTGGAGTAGATGAAGATATCAAAATTTTAAAGCTCATTCTAGCATTTTGAAAAGCAAGATTTCATATTTTAAAACTACTTTATCAAACAATTGGTAGAAAAATCTGATGGATATTATCTTATTTGAAAAAGAAAATATTTCTCCTTGATGTTAATTGTCAATTAATGTCTCATTAGTATTATTAATACTAGTAAAAAAAAAAAAAATTCTCAAATGTATTTGATGTAAGGTTATTTTAATTTAATTGGGGCATAATAGTTTCGGGTCTGATTCATTGACAATTACTTCATCAACAATCATTTTGTCAACGTACGTTTTGTTGGCAGTTTATTTTGTCAACAGTTTATTTTGCCAACAATTATTTCATTGACAGTTTATATGATATTAGCATAACATATGCATTGATTATAATTATTAATATACTTTGTTTTGTTGTTAATCCTAATTGATTCTAGGAATCATAATTTCAGAAGCATCAAGAAATTTAGATCCTAATTAGTTTGCAAGTATATTAATGACTGAATTTCATGCATCTTGATAAATATTTCCTGAGTTTTGATTCAATTACATAGGTAAACTCAATAAGTCGGATTTGGCCTAACTCGGACAAAAATTTCCAGCCCTTTTTTTTTATATTTAAAAATTTCTTGATAAGTCGGACAACTCCTCCAGCCAGATAATAATAAATGACTCTCGATAAGTCGGTTCACGTGATTTTCGTAAATCTTGAGAGATAATCTTTACTATTTTTAGTAATGTAATTTATTCATGATTTGTAATAAATCTGTTTCGTGAATAATGTTATTATCAATTATAGTCATTTTAAAAAATTTGTCTTTGCAAATAATGTATTTTATTGTTATATTTATCAATTATATCATTTATTATCTCATCATTAAATGAATTCTCGTTTCGTTGTCTCATCATTAAATGATTAAAAGATTTAAAATGGAAAATTAATAGAAAACAAAATAATTCTTTAGTACAAAACCAGTATGAATATTTATTTAAATAAAGAGTAGAGATTTTTTTTTTTTATCTTCTATCTGTTTTATTAAATTATTTTTCAATTATTATCATAAATAAATAAATACGATTTAAACAACGATTTTCTTAATTTTTTTTTTTTTTTTTTTTTTGTAAAATTGCATATTTTGATAAGTCGGATCTCTTGATAAGTCGGACACCATGTCCAGCCATTTGTGTCCGACTTATTGAGTTTACCTATGTATTATTATTATTATTGTTTTGAAATTTTGACCATGTAATTTTAAAATTCTAAATAAATTAACCTTATAAATAACTATAAATCAGTCCCTTATAATTAAAAGTAAAATTTTTCTAACACAGCCTTCCAAGTGGTTATAAGCAACTTTGTAGGGAACAACTGTTGCTGCTGAATTTGCTTTAATCTGTATACTAGTTGAGCAATAATCTTAAAATAAGTGAAGAAAAGAAACACTTCCAACCTGGCGTAGAATAACCATTATTTAAGCTAGCCTTTTCTTTTAACTGTTGTTAAAATTCCCATTCTGGCTCTAAAAATTCTTATTATGGTTGAAAATCGCTTGCTATATGAAAAACAGCATAGTGGACTTTCGATTTTAACACTAAATGTGACATAAAGTGACGATCATATTTATATTGTGCAACTAACAAAATTAATTGAAAAAGTACTTTAAAATACTCATTAATGTAACATAAAAATTACACA